AAAAATTTAAAAATCGTACATGAAATAGATCCAAATTTCACAATAATCCGATTTCATAATCAGCCGTGACATTAAATGAATCAAAAATTTTGACATTTATTAAAAGTATTTAACGATCCATTAGGATTCTATAGATCGTAGGATTATCATTCCAGCTTCGGAATTTTTAGATATTATCAAATTAATAAAAAAGACTATAACAAAACGTGATCATAAAAAAGTTGACTACGATCGATTCCAAAATAGTGTTAAAAAGCTCAGTGATAAGAAGGATAAATCATTGAGTGAGGAAAAACAATTACATAAGGTATTAAATTTTGAATAGATTTGTTGGGTAATTATACTTATATTTACGTTCATTCTTATTGATAGTATGAAGATCAACTTGAACATGCAACGCAAGAATACGAACACTATAATGACATGTTAAAAAGAGAGTTACCACTTTTTTTCGAATATAGAGTTGAATTCATCGAGCCAATATTTGAATGTTTTTATCATATGCAATTGAGAATTTATGGATTTTTATTCGAGCAATTTGAACAATTAGCAGAATTAGGATACTTTGATTTCGAATCTGATATAATTGGTGCTTTTGAAAAGAAAATAGTTGATGCCAAGGAACAATTGGAAGATATAACATTGATTAAACGAGGCAAACATGATAAGAAACAGAATGGTGTGTTATTGCTATAATATTTGTATTTTTAACGTACTGATTTTCATAATTGACATATATTTTACCAATTTGTTGAAAAGAGAGTTCGCGTAAACAAAGTCCTGTTCGAGAATCTGCGCGCGCACGTTCTGCAGGACGTACGCCGATTTATTCCAATGAAGATCATCACGATGAGGACGATGAGCCTCCTGCATACACCCCTACGCCTGTAAAAACTAATTCAAAACTTTATCCGACTCCAAAAGTGCCACCACCACCGCCACCTGTTTCCCGAAAGCCAAAACTTGTACGATATGTAGTTGCTTTGTATGATTACGAGGCAACTGCTGAAGGAGATTTATCTTTCCGGAAAGATGATAAAATTGAAGTTATCGAGCGAACTGCGGACGTGAATGATTGGTGGACAGGGAAGTTGAATGGTGTTACAGGTGTATTTCCTGGTAATTTTAAGATTTAAATTCTTTTCCTATGGTCTAGCCTAGAATTATTTTCTAATTGATATTATTTTTTTTTTCAGGTAATTATGTTGCCGAGTTGTAAATTTATGTTTGTTTCATTTAATTGGATAATTTTTTGGGAAAGGATTCAGTGCTACTAAAAAAAACTAATTTGAATACCAGATTAATTATATTTATGTTCTGCCACATTAAGATCTTTGTATTATTATACAGCCATAACAAAACGTGGCAAATTGATAATTGTCATGTACTTTTATTATTATTAAATATCTAATTTATAATTTTAAAATTTATTGCTGTTAGAATCAGCTCTACTAAATCAAACCAATGTGGTTAACACCACAGTTGTGATATATCAAAAACTAGCTAAGTAGTTAATACTTGACGTTCCAAGCAAAATGTTCATCGTCCAACAGTGTTGTAATTTGGACTATAGTAATTTTTTAATTGGACATATAAAATTGGACTAAATAACAACACTGTCGTCCAAAAAACCCTTTCATTCATCCTAATCCTGACTTTTAATCTCTAATTACTGGTCTTATTTTAGCTTCAACCCTAA